TTATAGTTTTGTTTAAAAAATATAACCCAGAGTAAGAATCACAGTCTCAAATCAATTGTCTAAATTAATCCCTTTATAGACTTTTTATTTTTTAAAAAAAATTTAGGGTTTAAACAACTCTAGTTTTTTTTTATTTTTTAATATTTTGGGGGCTTTTTGGGTCACACCCGGCGATGCTCAGGGGTTACTTCTGGCTCTGCACTTAGGAATTACCCCTGGCAGTGCTCAGGGGACCATATGGGATGCTGGGAATCGAACCCAGGTCAGCCGTGTGCAAGGCAAACGCCCTACCTGCTGTGCTATCACTCCAGCCCCAACAACTCTAGTTTTAAATATCACCATGTATGTCATTATAATTCTAGTATAGCCAAAGAAAAAGTAATCAAAAAGTGATTTTAAGTGCCGATGTGAAGCATATATTAAAAGTTTTAGGTATATATTTAGAACTTGTTCTTTATTGGTATTTATAACTATGAGAATGGATGATAGCTTTTAGAATTTAGGTGGAGCACAAAGAACATGACTAAAGTCATTAGTGGAAGGTAGGCAGAGGAGGAGATAGCAGAGAAACAGAGAAGCAGAGATGAGAGCGAGGAGAACAGCTTGGAGACCCAAAAGAGCTTTTCCAGAATGTGGTTGTTCTGTCCCAGTTACTCCAAAGAGGCCAAGCCAGATGTGAGTTGAAACTGAAGCTGAAAATGTTCTGTTTACACATACTTGCCATATGAAAGTAAGAATAATTTTTTTAAAAGGATTTTGACTTTTTTTCTCTACTTTGGGGCTTGGTGAATTGGGCCACACTCTCTGGTGCTCAGAGGCTATTCTGGGCTTTCTGCATAGAAGTGACTACTGATGGTGCTCAGGGGACCCTATATGGTGCTGGGGATAAAACTGGGTTCAGGCATATCAAAACCCCTGTATCATATCTCTGGCTTCTTCCCCCCTCCTTATTTTTGGGGTCCATACCCAGCTTTGCTCAGGGCTTACTCCTGACTCTGAGCTCAGGGATCTGCCCTCACAGTGCTTGGGGAATCTTATGTGGTGCCAGAAATGAAACAAGGTTGACCACATGCAAGGCCCTACCTGACTATACTATCTCTCTGGCCCAAATATTATCAAGATTATTCACCTTCCGTATTTTGAACCCAGTTCTCAGGAGTCACTCACTCCTTGATGTCAGTGGAGTTAGATATAGTGCCAGGGATTAAACCAGGGTCACCAGTAGAGAAGGCAAGCGCCTTAACCCTTGAATTGTCTATCAATTTTTTCTTTTATTTCTCCTCACATAGTAGTATTATATATAATACAAAATACATTTGGAATTTTACACAAGATCAAGAAAGTTGAGAATATTATATTAATTATTATTTTGTTGTTGGTGGCGGTAAAGCAAGGTTGAAACTCACTTAGGAATGAGTGGAGAGAAAGAGAGAAGTCTTTGTTTAAGGCTTCTCCAGAGTGGAAATAAACAAGCAAAGGTACGTAGATACAAGCAAATGTACGTAGATACAAGCAAGCGAGACACATATTCAAGGGAGAATAGGGTCTTGAAAAGTAAAATTAAATCTTGTATTATTGATTGTGATGTCTTATTGGTTTTGTATTACTTAGGAAAGCAATTCTAGGCTTTGTGCAAAAAATTGTAATTGTTACTTTAAGAACAGCCAATATATGGATGATCTGTAAGCAACAAGGGAAGAAAGGAATCTCTTCACTTTTATGCCTCTCGAATCTTGAATGTATCCCGAATTAAAAAAAATACTTTTCAAGGGCTGGAGAGATAATACAATGGGTAGGGGGTTTATCTTTCATGCAGCTGACTCCGATTTGATCCCCAGCATCTTATTTAGTCTCTCAAGAACCACCAGCAGTAATTTCTGATTACAGAGCCAGGAATAACTCTTGAGCATTGCTGGCTGTGCCCTCCTCCCCCCCCCCAAAAAAAATTAATGTTTAAACATTTTTAAAGGTCCATTTTATCATGTTGAACTTTTACACATATAGATAAAGGCATTTTTAAGACATTGCTGTGGTTAGAAAAGATGTTAAATTTTGGTTCTCTGCAACCATCATTTGATAATTTGGTCTACAGTAGCTAATATACTGAGTATATTAGAGTAACATTAAGTTAGCATTCGTCAGATATGCCATAGTAAAGAATAGGTTGTGATTCATTCTTGCTAATGGATAAATAACATGATTATCCAAAAGGTCAGTATTTTCCCTGAAGAAATTGCTGATTTCTGAGTCTAAGCATGCATTAGTAATTAAGAAGATCCTGTTTTTAGGTCCTAATCCCAAATCCTGTAGGATTCAAAACATAATTAGAGAACTTATTTTATATGTACTTTACTTATTAAATTCTTATTACAGTCTCAGTGAAATAAAAATAATTGCTTGCAGAGTTTTACTCTTCTCTTTTTACAGACTTCATTCAAAATAAATAAGAGTGGTAATTACAGGAAAAGTTCTTTTTAATATAAAGAAGTTGGAGAAAATCTTCGAATTAATTGTAAATGTTTGAGCCCTGTCAGTCTTTTGTTTTGTGGTCACAGCCAGTGATATTCAGGGGCTACACCCTACACCTTGCTCCAGGAGGTGCCCAGGAATGTGATGCTGGGGATCAAACCCAACACTCCTGCATACTTTTCCTGGCCCAGGAGCTGTCATCTCTCTGGATCAAATTCTTTGAGTCTTATATTAGAAATTTTACTGCTATTTAAAATGGTTCTTAGAAAAGTAAAATCCTGTTCAGTCCTCACCCTTGAGTATGGTGGGACCATACCTTATGGTGTTTGGGAGCTATTCCAGTCTCTCTGCTTGTGGGAGGGCATTTCTCTAGTGGTTCTCAAAGGATCATGTTGTGCTGAGGGTTATACCAGGATCAGCTGTAAGCAAAGCAAGTGTCTTAGTCTCTGTAAAATCTCTTCGGCACTATTTTTTCTCTTTTCTTTGTCTTTCTTTTGTTTTATTTTGTTTGTTTTGTTTTGGGGCCACACTCAGAGATGCTCAGGGGTTACTCCTGGCTCTGAACTCAGAAATTATGCCTGGTGGTACTTGGGGATCATATGAGAATGCCAGGGATTGAAGCCCTGTCGACTGCATGAAAGGCGAAGTGCCCTCCCCACTGTACTATCGCTCTGGCCCCAATTTTTCTTCTTTCTTTTTGTATGAGAATTTGGGTTAAAGTAACAAACACTGAGCATGTGCAACAAAGATATGTCTGCTGCATACACTGACATATGCATAATTTGATATTGGAAGTGGGTGATTAAGGTAAAAACGTCAAGATTTTGGGGAAACCTCAGTGAAATTAATAATTGCTTTTGATGTCTGCAGCTGAACAGAATAAATCATAATTCAAGAACTTAACATTGATTTTTTTATGACAATGAAAAACTGAACTACTATGCAATTCAGGATTGTATAACTATGAGTTCACCACCCCAGATTTGAGTAACATAATGGATATTCTTTGATCAGGGAAGTTATCTTTTTACTCTAAAGATCCTATAATAGATCATAATTCGATCTTGAAAATGTCCCAGTGAAGGAAACCATTTTTATTTTCATGGTTGACTGTGATTTTCCTAGTCTTTTGTTTGCAAAATAGACTTAAGGTTTAATTCAAATTTGTGTAAACTTCATATGAAGTGAGAAATTGCATTAGCCATATTTTCCCTTTTTAAAAAATTAATGACACACTAAAAGTCATCCTTTATGCTTTTTCTCAACTCCTTGCCCATGCAGTTTACAAAATTTCCTACACTATTGGCCTGTTTTTAATCCTTCATTAGTGATTTTGCTACTTTATATTTATTACCTTCATTTTAATTAAATTTTTATTTTTATTTTGGGGCCACAACCATTGGTGCTCAGGGATTACTCTTGGCTCTGCACTCAGGAATTACTACTGGCAGGCTCAGGGGACCATATGGGATGCCAGGGATCCAACCCAGTTTGACTGTGTGCCAGGCAAGCACCCTGCCTGCTATAATATCGCTCTAGCCCTAATTTTATTTACATATATATTATATACACATATATAAACATACATATGTGTATGTGTATATATATATCACATATATATAGGAGCATAAGTAGTGCTCAGATATTGTGCACGGATCTGTGCTTGGGTCTCACTCTCGTGGTACTAAGGGACCATGTGGTAACAGGGAGTGAAGTGAGGCCTCTTACATGCAAAGTGAGGCCTCCTACCTGCAAAGCATGCTTCACCTGTTGAGTTTTATCTCTGGTCCTTGGTTTCGTTTCATGTTGGTGGGGGCACATCTGATAGTGCTTGCTCCCAGAAGTTCTCATAAGAGCGTGCAGTGCTAGAAATTGAACTCAGTCTCTGGCCACAGCCACACGCATGCGGGTGAGATCCCTCTGCCCTGAACCTGTCACTGGGCCTCCCAACTGTACCCCAGCAGTTCCTGTCATCCTGTCCCAGATTTCCTAGTCTCTGACTGCAGCCACATGCAGTGTAGACAGTGCTACAAGTGGTACTTAAATAGAACATTGTATATTATCTCTATGGAAGGACATTTTAAAGGTTAGAGATAAGGAGAGAAGTTATTGATACAATCAATTGCCATTTTACCCACATTTGAAGATTCATGGTGGTGTTTTCTTTCTTTCTTTCTTTCTTTCTTTCTTTCTTTCTTTCTTTCATTGGATTACCATGAGATATGCAGTTACAAATTTGTTCATGATTGGGGTTCAGTCATACAAGTGGTCCCAAACCCGTCCCTCTTTGTTGATATTTTCATGGTTGGCAGTAGCTAGCACCACATCTGAAGCATCTTGGCAACTGGAGAGTCTTAGAAAATCAGCACTGACCCGTTTTCTCATAAACACCTCACTGTGGCCTAATGCTGAGTTATTAAAGTTAAAACATCCATAAGCTATTTTGTGGTTTCTACTTAACCAAAACTTTTACAATGGTCAGCTCTGACAATTAAGAAATTAATTTGTTTTCTATTTTATTTTTTTTTCAGGTGTATGGTGGCTGATGAAGTAAGTATCTTTATTATTTGTTTATACTTATATTAATTTTCATAAAACCCAACAACCAATTTTTAGTAGCTACTATTAAGATCTTATATGGGGATAAAGAAGAGAGAGGGAGGTAAGAAGGTGAGAGGATCTAAGTCAAAATGAATGGGTGTGAGCACATGTATGTGCATGCTTATGTCTATAACACATTAGTATTAACAATAGTGATCCAAAACTCTATAGTATTTAGCCAAGGAAACATGTATATGACTTGAAATGCAGCCACAAATGCAGTAACTCTTTTTGTAGATTTCATAATGCTCTTGGCTTTGAAGCAAAACTTTTAATTTGTCTGTAATCTTTACTATTATTTCTATAGGTATGAAATTTAATGCTAAAAGTAGCATTTTAGGATCATTAAATATCTTAATACGATTAAGTAGCTTGTGCTTTTACATCCATATGCATGTTTCCTTACTGGGCTATATGGGATGCCACAGATCAAACCCAGGTCCAGCAAGTGCTATGCTATTTCTCTGGCTTCCTCATAAAGGAGGAATGCTTCAACTTTGCTGTAAAAAAGACTAGAGAAATAAGTAGTATGAGACACAGGACTAACTCTCAACCTCTAATAACCTCTGTTAGTGGTTAGTTGAAATGGTATTCTTATGTAATCTTCCATCTGCGTGCATGAGAATTAAAGTTTAATAAACTTGAAGTGTTGAATTGTAAAGAACTTGTATAAATGTAAATTATATGAACTCAGGTTTGACCTTCATTCTGTTTCCTTGCTCTCCTCTTGTTCTTATTACAACGTGGTAGTGAAGTCAAAGGAGGAAATGTGTTTTATAATTTGTAAGTCAACGACTTTTTGATTTTTACATTAAAAATTTTGGATATGATTAATATTTGACTCATCAAATAGCTAGAAGCCTTAGGAGAGCAGTTTTACATCTCTGTTATTGAACATGCTTCTTTGAGATGCCTTAATACCCACTTGGAGTATTGTGTAATTTAGTTGTCTGCTTTGATCCTTCCTCCCTAGCTTTAGAAACAAATGACTTCCTTTACTGGTATTACTCCCCCTTTTTCTAGCACTTTTCCACTATTATCTTTTTTGTTTTATTCATTCTTTTTTGGAATTATATAATTTCCATGCTGTATGTGTGATAATCAGTAACTTTAAATTTGAATGATGATTTAAGTTCTGTTTCTAGATGTGTAATCCTTTATTTTATTTAAATGGTAAAACTAGGGGCTGGAGCGATAGCACAGCGGGTAGGGCATTTGCCTTGCACGCAGCTAACATGGCCGACCCAGGTTCGATTCCCAGCATCCCATATGGTCCCCCGAGCACTGCTAGGAGTAATTCCTGAGTGCATGAGCCAGGAGTAACCCCCGAACATCGCCGGGTGTGACCCAAAAAGCAAAAAAATAAAAAAAATTTTAAAAAACGGTAAAACTATATTTCCATTAATCAGCAAAGGTAGAGCTTTCAATAAAATTCACTTTGTGAATCAAGCACAACTATTTTAATTCCCCTTCAATATATTGTTTGGTTTAATATAATTGGTTGTTGTTTAAAAATAGTTAATGAGAACACAGAAACTCTTGTGACTTTGTATTCCATAAGTAATGAAATGCAAACCACACTCTGTAGTCAGGTTATTGTACTAGTTTCCTTATTTCTTAAAAGTTTATTTATTTTTAATTGAAGAAATATGTTTCAAGTGCACATCAACATTTGAAAATCAACATGTGCATATGCTAATTTACTTTCATTATCAAAAGACCATTTAAAACTGGTTATAAATGGATTGCTTTTAGTAGCAATTTTTGAACACTGCCACTGTTATATTGTTCCATTGAAAATTTTTGAAAATGATTATGAAAAACTTATTTTTTATTTAATTTTTTAAATTTTAATGAATCACCATGAGATATAGTGACAGACTTACAAACTTGCATGATTACGTTTCAGTCATACAATATTCGAGCACCCATCCCTCCACCCCTGCCTATTCTCCACCACCTCCATTACCCCCACCCCTACCCCTACCCTGCCTCTGTGGTAGGCACGTTCCCTCTTACTCTCTCTCCTTTTGGGTGTCATGGTTGGAAAAACTTTTTTTTTTTTTGCATTTTTGGGTCACGCCTGGCAATGCTCAGGGGCTACTGCTGGCTCTACACTCAGGAATTACTCCTGGCAGTGCTCAGGGGACCATATGGAATGCAGGGGTTTGAACCTGGGTCAGCTGCATGCAAGGCAAACACCCTCCCCACTGTACTATTGTTCCAGCCCCAGCAAAAGCTTATTTTAAACATGAAAAAATAGTTTCCCATTAATACAAACCAGGTAATAATATATGTGAAGAAAAAAATTAATTGATACATTTTCTATCTTATTTGTCAAATATAGAAAAGTTATTATTCTTTGTTTCTATGTAGAAACAGCATTTAGGAAAGTTTTATGATGTTAGTTATTACTTAAGAGAGTGAAGTTAGAGATTAGAAATTGTGCTTTGCATGCAGGAGGTCTGGTTCCAGTCCCCAGCACTGCCAGGTCACCTGAGCACTCTCAGAATGGTGTTGCTTGGCATGACTTTGTGGATATTTGGTGAACATATTAACAGATAAATATTTGGAGCCGAGATCCAATAGTCATTATGAAAGCTTTTCTTTTGGTCTAGATGCTTCTCTAAAAGAGAAGTTTGAAGGGGAGAGATTTTTGGAACCTGTTCAAAGCTGGTAGAATTATTTTTGCAGACTCCAAGTCAAATTTTGCAAGACTTGTCAATTTCTCTACAAACAGAAATGTGTAGGTGTCAGGAAATACTAAAGAACCCCTCTGGAAAGTTACTTCTGCTGAGAAGACCTTAAAAATGATACTGTAATATAAACTCTGCTAGCATTAACTTTGTAGGTTTTAGAACTACCAAATTAAGCTAGACATGAAGAACTTTAATTTTCCTTTTGTAAAAAGTCATTTTATTTGACAAGGTAAGCGGAATGGATAATTTTTTCCCCATTTGTTTCTACCTAGTTTTCTTTTGGCATATCGAATACTCTCGGTAGCTTGCCGGGCTCTCTGAGAGGGGCAGAGGAATCGAACTCGGGTCGGCCATGTTGGCTGCGTGCAAGGCAAACGCCCTACCGCTGTGCTATCGATATGCCAAACACAGTAACAACAAAGTCTCCAATGGAGACGTTACTGGGCCTGCTCGAGCAAATCGAAGATCAACGGGAGGGCCTTATAGTTTTCTTTTACTGGGCTCAAATTGAATTTAACACTTTCTCCTTTGAGCTCTTACTATTTCTGAATCATAATCCTTTTTTGTTGTTATCCTTGCTGGTTAAATGAAGGAATTGATTGATTAATACAACACGTAAATCAGTTTAGTGGATTGCCCTGAGAACATGGAATTTGAATATTTTAGGAGTTGATATTTGAACTGAAATAATTCAGTTCCCAAGTGTATCAATGACTATTCTATATGAAGCTCAAGATACCATAATTTCTATATTTTGAAATAAAATTTTTAGGATAGAAGAATCTTTAAGACACTAGGACTCAAAGTAAGCTAAATGTTAAAATGAAGTTAATGGTATCAAAATTTTGTACTGATGCAACTATCAGAATCCTTTAAGTCAGTATTATTTTCCCTGCTTCCTTCTTTTCCTCATCTCTAAGGCCAGCTTGATCAGATTCGTATGCTTTTCAAAATAATTTATTCCTTCTTCCCTTTGTTATTGTAGTGCCTGGGAACTGTCCCCATGTCCATCTAACAAAATCATTATTTAAAGCACTGTAGTACTGTCCTCCTATTGTTCATCGATTTGCTCAGGCAGGCACCAGTAACTTCTCCATTGTGAGACTTGTTACTGCTTTTGGCATATCAAATACGCCATGGGGAGCTTGCCAGGCTCTGCCGTGTTGGCGGGATACTCTCCGTAGCTTGCCAGGCTCTCCAAGAGGGACGGAGGAGTCGAACCCGGGTTGTGATAGCAATGGTAAATTAAGCCCTGACCCAGACAGAGAAAGACACAAGGCATCTTTCTGAAATATAATGTTTACAATTCATATTAGAATTTGAAAGGACAAAGCACTAATGTTGCTGCTTTAATTAACGTATTGTTACTGTGCATTAGTACCTCCAAGTGCTTTGTAAGGAGAACATTTCAAACTTTCAAGCTGCACCAATTTTTATTAAATGGAATTTTCTTAATGAAAGTTATTGAGAATCAAGAGTGGTGATGAAGATAAATTCCACCCATAATACGTCCTGCCCCCTTTTTTACAATGGGTTTAAGTTTCCACAGAACTATAAAGCCTAAAGGAACCACAGCTGCCTTGGAATTTAGTTCATAATTGTGCATATCCACAGAGGCTCTGCAGAGAGAGCATCTAGGGATCTTTTCTATACATTAGATGCCCTAAAGCCATCTTTTCCTTTAGCCATTGACCTACGTTTTATTACTATATTCAACAAATTGATACAATAAAAAGACTTCTTATTTGAGAAGTTCTTAGAAACCAGAGATTCAAGAAATATGCCCACCTTCTGTACCGCTTTCAGCCAGGAAAGGTATGGCAGAGGGCTATGTGTTCCTGAGTGGGATAAATACAGGATCCGCCAGAAAGACAGCTCAATGAATTGAGTACATGCTTTGCATGTGTTAGGCCTAAAGTTGATCTGGGCACTGCTGGGGAGTAACCACTGAGCACAGATCCTGGAGTATTCTCAGAGCACTACTGCGGTGATCCCCCAAAATTAAAATTTAAAAACATACTGAAAAAGTTGGGAATTAGTGTGCAAGTATATAATAGTATGGCATGGTTATGAAAGGGACCATTCATTTCAGTCAAAAGACTTTGTTGAGGAAGGAAATTTGAAGTAGAAGAAAAAAAAAACCTATCTTTCAAAAAAGGAAGACTGAGGCTTTTCTTGATGAGGTAAGCTGTGGTTTCCAATATGGTTCCCAACGTTTCTAGAACTGAGATTGAGACTGCCGATTTGGGT